ATACATTTTGATATTAATATATATATATATATATATATATATAATATTGGTAATACCTTTTTATTACTATTTTTTAACTGTTTTTAATTTGTTTATTTCTTTTTATTATAAACAGGGACAAAATATAGAATGTTAAAAATTGCTATATCTAATACTGTAAAAATTATAATTTTTTTCTAATACTACTACTACTACATGATTTATTTTTATAAGTAGAAAATGAAATATAGTTCAGTTTGAAGAACACAAAATAAGAATGCTCAGTATGTATTGGCAACAATTTTCAAAATATAAGTGCACGTATAACATTTCTTTTTCAGAACTATCTACGTGGTGTACCGCAAGCATATACAATTACTTCGCCATGCAAACCTTCAAACAATATTTTATAAATTTACTTTTAACAATTCCAAACTGAACCCATTCAAAGATTTAAGATACAATATAAAATTAAATATAAAAATGTTCCTACATAAAACATTACATATAGTAATAACACTGTTATAACTCGCAATCTAAGAACCCTTCTAGTAATAAATGTAAAGCTCATTAAAAAAGCAATAAACCACAAGAGTACTGGATGTTTTCAGTGTAAGATACACAAAGGCTAACCTACGAAAATCAGAAGCCTTATTAATTTCCAATAGGGTCCTTTCATGGAATGATTTGTATAGGACACCGCAGACAATACCATCCTCTTTTCCAAAGAGAGTATTTCATAATCAAACATGCGACCAATGGCTTAAAAATATCAACCAAAAGATGGTTCTCTACTGATTGCATTTCAACCCTCCAGCTGAAACCCAAGAACAGCAGCAGATACATGGAACTGAACCGGGTTCGAAAGATCTCCACGGTTCAGCGCACACAAAGTGGCTGCCACCAGTTTAATCAACTGAGTTGCTCTGTAAAGAACGCCAACATTTTTCTATGAAAATAATCACATTATACTTCAAGGTTTTATCCTCAGTTTTAATATATTTAGGCATTATAGTAACAAGGCACGAGTCTCCGTTAAAGTAATTGTGCACTTAATTTAGCATTTATTACCATTTTGATACTTGGTTTTGTAACTGTATGTTTATTGTTATTTTGGTTATTGCTGTTCCGACTGAAATTTCAGTTAAATGACATTTTCATTCAAAAGCTACACATCAATATTAACCATGACTATTGCATATAAATACCACATAAGAAAATATCGACAATGGATAGATCCTTTAACAATTTATACATTTCTTTATACTTTCTACAGTTACTACAACACTTCTATTGTATTAGTATTAACCTAGGTAGGGGTCATAGTAGAAGCGTCCTCGTCGCAGCCCTGAATAACACTAATTCTACCACCACCACCACCACACAAGATCAAGGCAACATCTACTTGTATCATAATTTCCATCATGCCATCTGATGAAGCTGGCAGAGTAGAATGATTCTGCTAGCTAGAAACTGTCCAGCTCTGGCTGAAACAAAGTATCTAGCAAGTGTGTGGACATGATAGAGAAAAAGAAGAGGAGGATGGGAGTTTTTGCAATTGTTTTTGCCTGTTTTCCCCTCTAGTTAAGTTGTTAATATATATACATGTAAGATATATATTGAAAAAAATAAATAAAATAAAATAAATGATATGCAGAAAGGGCTACTATCTGCAGATGGATATGAGTGCCTTATAAAATGCATTTTTAAAAAAAAATAAAAATAAGTTGCAATGCGAGTATTGCAACTGATGCCATGGTATGCTTGAGAGCAGATGCCCAGTCCAAAATATACATTTCATAAACTTTGCCACGACAGCAAGAGATAAATTTACAGAAACAACTATTGTAGCGAAAACAAGTCACCCCTCCCAAATCATGTTTTGGAGATAATGGCCAAAACACGTTGGAATGTCAACATTTTTTAAATCTATTTTTTGTGCTAAAATAATTGTTAACAATTTGGTGCCTGAGTAAACTCGGAAATAGCTCTGAAACCATAAATTTTAAAGGCTGATTATCTCTAATATTGTTCTTTAAACAGCTGTATGTTTAAACTCTTGTAACTCCATAAGAAAAAAAAACTTGTTTCAAATATACTTATATAATGCAATTTTAACCTAATTTTAAGATACAGTACAGTATTTTATTTTCAATCCTGTTTCATCGCAATGTCACAATTACTGTACCTGTAAAATGAATAGGAATGTAATAGACAGTGATTAAAGAAGGGGGGGGGGGGCCCTCAATTTGTTGTTTTTGTTTTTGCTTGAAAAACAGAAAAATTGAAACTAACTTATTATTAGGATATATTTCAGTACTAAGAATAATTATTGCCTAGCATGATTTAGTTGTAAAATGTTCATAAATATAAAAATCTCTAACAATTATCTACAAAAAGTGACCCCATGTTTTCTATTTGGAACAACGATAGAAACGAGGTAGGCTTGCTTTCGTGCACGCGTGGTGCTCTTCTGAATCATTCCAAATAAAAATCATAAAAATTTACATCTTGGAATCCAGTCTAGTCATCTTTATAAAAGCTGTAATAAAATTTACATTAAAAACTTTCACTTCTAATCTTTACAAAGCCTGGTTGGAAATTCCTGGATTTAAAGGAGGGTTTGGATATCCCATGTAGGCGGGTGGAGGAGTCTCTTCTATGTCTGTTGGGGTCTTGTACCTATCTGGATCCTGCATAACACTATCGTATGCCGGGGGTAGGTCTACGAACCCTGGCGGAGGAGCTGATGGCAGGACGTCTTGGTTTCCATTGGTTTGAAGTTCAATTGGAATGTCGGTTCCGTTAGGATTATTAGTAGCATTATTTGTTTCCGGTTGATTCGTCTTCTTTTTTCCGCATAAGCAAGCATACAACCAGTAGAATCCCACGGAGGACCCTATAACAATACCTGCAATAGCGCCACCAGACAATCCTGAAATACAAAATATAATAGAAATTTCACTTAGCATCAAATTTTATTTTCGGATGAACACTCTTTCAAATTTTCTTTGACAAAAAAAAAAACTAATGTATGCCCGTAATGTATATATAGTCATGATGTGCCTATATATGGTCACGATGTGATGGCATCCTGACCATTTATATGCATGTCGCATGTTTTGTCAAATGAAAGATGATACTGTATTCTGGACAGGGTTACACATAACATACAAGGTGGAAACTGCCTTAATAAATGGGTTGAAATTAACAAAGTGGACCTAATATTATCTGGAAGAGAATTAAAAAGTCTGCTAAAAGTGAATGTATTATATGGAATACTTCTATGCATTAGTTCAAGCAAACTGTTAATGAACATGTGAGAATGCAGATGTGTGGTACATAAATATTAGGCAATTAATGATAAGCAATGTTTTGGTCAGTTTTTATACAGTATAAGTACACTTATATTTATTTATTTTTGCAGACACTTTCAGAATACTTGTACTGTTTTTATTATAAGTAGTATGGATTTCTGTATATAAAAATATTACATGGAGTAAAAAAACAAAAAACAAAATAAACATTTCATAATATACAATGATACAGCTTTTATAAAAACTTGTACAGGTATGTGTTTTTGAATGTATGAATGAAATCCATGAATGAATGATACATTAAAAGAGAGAAAAAAAAAATCAGTTTTTAAAACATTTTCCTAATTTAATATAATTTTGGAATAATAACTATTATCAGTTGATTTCCCGTAGATTTATAATCAGGCGGTACTGGGGAGGGACAACTTAATTTCCTGCTCCATAACAGATATACATTCGTAGAAGCCTTATCGAAGAAAGCCTATCCACAGTGGCCGAGATTGGCACGAGACCAGAACTACCTTCAGCTTTGAATATAGGAGAGTATCCAACTCTCTAATAAATATTCCAAGGAATGTTCTTTTTGTCAGAATATTCATTATTTTCATTTTATTAACCACCATCCACTTCACTTGCATCTGTGGCTTTACCAATAAAAGTGATTTCTTGTAAGTGACAAAACAAAGGCAGTATATATTCTTAAATTGATGAGTGCATGTTTCACTCTCTTTTGCATTCGTGTTGCATGCATGCCTCCTGATGTAATGCTACTTTGAAGACGTGTTCATTTGTTAGTGGGTGCACAAATTAATTTTGTACTGTGTATCATTTCGTCGCTCGCATCACAAACTAACACAAAGTAGATTGTGTTAGTTTGTGAAATCAAATCAGAGTAGCGCGTCAAAACGAGCGCGTATTGGCTGTCAAGCACTTTTGTATTCTTTACCACACAAAAATACGGTAACAACAACAGTGCGTATTTTGAAACACTTTCTTGATTTCACGAACTAACACAATCTACTTCGATTGTGTTAGTTTTTGATGTGAGCGACGATGTAAATATAGATTTTTGTGGATTTTTTATGACATGAATATTAGTGAAATTTGTAGTGTCAAAATATAACAGTATTTAAAGATTTAGAATTAACTTATAGTTTACTTTTTATTTATATTTGTTATTAATTACTAATAATTTATCAGTATTCTGTTTGAAAGCTTGCTTTAAGTTGCATCTGTCAAAATGTATTGAAATGAAAATACATGTTTCATTACAGGTACAGAATGTACTAATATGTAGTTTTTGCCGCACAACGTTAACCTTAACATTAGTACCCAACATGCCACGCGATAGCTCTGCCCCTTTAGTAAACAAATTGAAATACGCATGCGCAAACCTGTACCTAACGTACGTTGAGCACGTAAAATCCTGAAATTAACGTACTCTGCAACGAAAGATGAATAAATGATGAAGTCATCTGTTAACATTAAGGTTAACGTTGTGCTACGAAAACTACCTAATATACGGCGAGCACTCACTGAGATGGTTCTTGGCAACTTATACAGCGTCACACGATACAGTCCGACACGACTTGTTGAAGCATTAAATCTGTGCAAGTTAAACAGATGCGATGGTTTGCATTGGAGATAGAGAATATAAAAATGTTTAATATTCTCACAACTGATTAAGACTGTTCAGAGACAATAAATCGCATTGGACTGCTTCATACGACGCTGTCTGTGTTGGCGTTAATACTTACCACCACCGGAATCATAATTTCTACATGATAATGCTACTTTGTCAGTAGTGTAGATACACTCGCTGAAGTCTTCTGGTAACAAGGTGCAACTGCTTAGGTAAGATTCACCACCATAACAATCGATGTTGAATTGGTGTGTTGGTATATTGCTGATTTCTGTAGTATCAAATTCGTATGCATTTCTATATTCACCAGCAGATTCAGATCCAAGTTGTCGACATAGGACTTCTGAATGGGATTCTTTCCATTCAAATGCACAAAGAGTTCCCCAAGTGCCATAGAGATACACTTCTGCTATTCCTTCTAAATCATCATTTCCTCCAACAAGACGTGCATCAAATTGTGAATGGTAGTCATCTACAGTATAAGGACATTAAAATACATCAGTGTACAGCGTCAGTAAACAACATGATATTTATCTACTCTAAGATTTTATCTGGCCTAATACATAGGTGCGGGCAGGGAAATTTCCCCGTCGGAGAGGCCTGGACCCCCTGCCGTCTTATACCACGATAAGGTCGTCGGGGCCAAAAATAAGAAAAATATAATTTGCCTATCCAAGTAACGATATTTTGATTGCCAATCCCTAATACTGTGATCTAAAAGCAAAATTTGGTCCATACTAAGCCATAAAAACCAGGGATATTTTTTTTATTTTGGAACCCTAACAGAGGCTGTAGTCGGCTACATTGGTTCGTCAGACCCCTTGTCGGCAAATTTCTGGCACCCACCACTGCCAGGGAGGGGGAGACAATTTGTAGGTTTTTGCCTGTTATGATCTCCCATAGAAATGCCAGTGAAAAAAAGTACTTACATTCACTTGTACATTGTAATTGCACTGTATTGTAACAGTAGAAATTATTATATTCACTGGTGCTACAGTCCAAAAGAACACTTTCTCCACCATTGCAGTGAAAGTTTAACTCGTATGGAGCTGAACCGCCTCCAATGTAGTAGCCAGCTACCCAATCTTCAGGCCTCATGTAACCTAGCTGGTTACAAACAACTTGCGAGTTTGCTTCCGTCCACTGATCATCACAAACATTGGTCCATTGTTCATTGTAATATACTTCCAATCGACCAACATTTACATAATAGCCATCCACAAGACGTACGCTGCTAAAACCTGTTGCTAAAAGTCCACATTAAATATCTCTATTAATACAGTTGCTGTACTATTCAATTAATGACATAAAATAGATTATATATTTTTCATAATTTACTCATTTCAGATTAGCAGAAGCGGTTTGGAGCAGTAGGAATTGTAATTATGGTTTGGGTTCTCAACCTCTAGGTCAGCATCTTAATCTTTCACCGTGCATTAGTCTGTTTCCTTGAGCAAAGCACTTTATCTACATTGCTGCGGTCTAGCCAGCTCTATCAATGGGTACCAGCAAACTGCTGGGGGTAACCTGCTATCATCCCATCCAGGGGAGCATCACACTCTCCTCCGTTTCACACTACAAAACTGGGGATAAACTCCAGGTCTATGAGCCCTAGTGGCTCAGCAAAGATACTATATTTTTATATTTCAGATTGAGCTGAGCTGAAAATGCTCATATGAGCATAAGATATAATATGTGGATCAGCCAGAGTGACAAACAGTAAGTTTAGTATTATGCTCAGCTGACATACTCTGTGTGCATACCAGACATGGCACCAGTGGATGGGGGGGGGATGCTGGAGGGCACTCCCTGTCTGGGAGAAAAACCACAATTTGTCGATCAAAACAGTCCTACAAATCCACATTAGTTATTTCAAGGGTAAAATGAACACAGTTTGCATACAGTTCATGTAGCCAGTGGTGCAGTAGTCCATATTCGGTAGCACTGCTTCTGTGCAAAATATGCAAAGCACAGGCAGAAGTGGAAACCGAGTGGAATTTACCAATGAAATATCATTACCTAATTATTATTTATGAGGTATATTAAATGTAACTATTCGAGAAGATTAAAGACATAGTTCAACAGCAAAGAAAAGTTATTGAATCTTAATGACCCATAATCATACTGAGTTGAATCAGCCCACTAGCATGCATGTCCAGCTATGCAGAAATCTGTATGTGTACAGTTATGAGCCACTTTAGAAAAAAAATTTTTCCCACCATTATGCCCAATCTTTCCATTAGTCAGTGCACATAGTGTATACTGTACAAGCAGATTCTGCTGAGCTGGATATGCATGGTCATGAGCCAATTCAACTCAGCTACAGTAGATATAGAAAGATTTTGTATTTGACATGTAGTACGTACATTTAATAATAATATTTAATATTTAGTAATACTAAACTCCTAAACAGATTAAAGGCATAGCCAGGGGTGCATCCAGAGAAGTCTGGAAAGCAGGAGGGGGGGGGGTGATTAAGATGACACCACCCTAGGGGATCTGAAAATTTTTGTTTTTCTTTCCTTTTTTTTTTTACTTTCCAAAAGAGGGGGAAGGGGGTGGGGTCAGCACGCCCCCCCCCCCACCTCCCACAAATCCGCCCCTGATAGTTCAATGGCAAAGAAAAGTAATTAAATCCTAATGACCTATAATTATTCTAAACGTAAACAAATATAATGAAGATGACAAACCACTACATTCTAGAGCCTGAAAAAACAGAAGAAGATATACTTCCACATACTGTAATACTATGTGTGGAAAATAAGAGCTCATCTGTGCTCATGTGTTCAAACATTTAGCTCAGATGATTATTCTCATGTGTGAACAAAAGCAGATTCCACTTGGAGAGGGTTGTGGGAGTGTGCCACCACTGGTGTTGGGAACAGCAACAGAATAATTGTACTGAAAGCTATGTTGTGCCAATGTTAAGCATTGTCCATAAGTTTTCCAACATTATTTGACAAAAACATGTGACATGCCTAAATATGGTCATGATGACACCTCATCATGAACATATAGGCACATCATGACTATATATGGGCATACAACAGTTTTTTTGACAAATAAAATTTTATAATCTGGACAGGGCCTGGCTTTATGTTATGGTAAAACAAGAATTTAACACGTTGGCTTCCAGCGACGAGTATACTCTACTGTATATGGTGTTGCTGAGGGTGCCAGAGACGAGTAAACTCGTCAAAATTGGGGTAACATTCTAGTGTTTATAACTTCTTTGTTATACATTGTAGAACCACAGACTCAACAACTGGTAGTTCGGGGAAGATAAACCTAGACAATAACAAACAAATGATGAATGTACTGTATGTTTGTTGTGTTATGCTTCCAGTAGTACACTAGCGCGGCATAAGTGGGAGCGACCTTTTAACGTATATCAACCCATGCAAAAAGTGGACGAGATTAAACTCGCACTTGGCATAGTCAATAAAAAGTTTTATCACAGTGTCGTCGAAGGGTTCACTCGTCACCTAATATTTTCCCGCCAATTTATTAGCCACATAATTTTGATGATATATTCGTAGATAAAATTTCAAAAACGTATGTTTGTACATGTTAGCTTGCTTTGGCACACGGGAAGGAACCTTAAGAAAGTCTGAGAGCCAACGTGTTAACAAATCATTACAAACATAATTCCTATTAATTGTGAATTTGAAATGTAAGGTAAAATTTACTTCTGAAAGCTGTACAAATAGAAAATTACCTGCTGAATAAACTGAAGCGGTAAGCGTCCATAAAATTGTGACTTCCAAAGCGAAAATCATTCTGATTTTTAGTAAAATCAATGAAACACAAATTGACTGAAATATAAAGAATACTGAGTTATTGAAAATAATTTTTAAAACTTGCTAGAGTATTTAGAAAAATGGTCTACTGTAGGCCTAGAATAGGCTCAGACCTACCAAGTGTCCTGCATTCACCATGAAATTCGCATAAAAAAATTGTTGTCCTGCCCCGACTGTAAAATAGGGCTTGCGCGGGGGATATATAAGGTCTAGAATGCCGTCTGCACATTTCGAAAAAAGAGGCCGATTTCTGGTCAATTTTTGCCAAAAAATTAGGCCCTGGTTTTATCTCTCAATATACAGGCAATGTATAAGCAGTAGTTACGATTCTGCGCACCTATTTTCCTATGTTTCCTGCGCTAATAAAATACTTTACAGTGTGGGGTTCCGCCCCCTCCCCCCATATGTAAAATGTAGTAGTCACACATCTCTTTAATGGTTCATGCACATGACTAGAGTGGACTATATAATCTGTACTAAAATACTGTACACCTAAATGTGGGGCTGAGTTGGTGTGGACCTCCCCTTTGTTGTAAGTTTCCTGCATTCTTTAACTTAACCTTGTCCTTGGCAGGGCTGACTGGTAGGGCTGACTGCCACACAGGGGGCCTCGTTCCGGCACAGCAACTAAGCAATGAAGTAGTTTTCTACTAGGTATATAGACCTACAGCAGGTCTATAGCACACTACTAGATACAGTAATACATACAGTGCAATACTAGTGAATACTAAATAGATTCCCTTTCGACATTGGCCTGGGGCTGGCTGGGAAAGGTTGGCGGTGCATGCACTCCACTGGTAGGCAAACGATTCGCCATGTATAGGACAAATGCACAGGAAACACCATTAATTATATTATATATATATATATATAGATACTGTCTCTTATACACATCTAGCTGAGTAAATTTACTCCCTGTTCAAGATATGTGGAAGATGTGGCTCTTTTAGTATTAAGTGTCTATGTGTATGTTAATGAAGTCGCTTTTCTTTTTGCAGACCTTTGATTCGCAATCTGTTTGTTGGTTATTTTACCACTCCTGATGCTAAAAAATCACAAGTACTCAAACTCATTGGCAGTGTTCTTATTTGCATTATTATAATAAATGCTGTAATAACATCAAAAGATTTGTGAAATAGTGATTGGATCTATTATTTAAAAAATTTAAAATGGCTGCCACATTGAAAATTGCCGCCATTTTAAAAATGGCCGCCATATTAAAAATGGCCGCCATAATGAAAATGGCCGCCATATTATGACTGTCACATTAACATAAAAAATTCTGAACCCTATGGAATTTTATAGTTGAAACGGTGGTTTGACCTATAATTCAAAATTCAAAATGGCTGCCAAATTCAAAATGACTGCCAAATTCAAAATGGCCACCAAATAATAATATAATCTTAATGTACAGGGTAAAAACTATCCCCGCCAGACACCATCTTGTTATTTTTTAGTCCACGTTTCAGGGCCGGAATTATAGGATTATAATTTTGCAATATTACATGGTAAAAATTCCCCACCGGACACCATCTCGGTATTTTTTAATCTACTTTTCGGCAGTTCTTCTTTTTGAATTTTATTTCCAATTTAAATGTCCAATTTAATTTCAATCAAATTTTAATCAATCAATCAAATAATCAATTAATAAATTAAGTCAATTAAAATTCTGTACAAATAAACTAGAGAAAGAAAAACATTATCATAAAATGCAGTGTCAATTCAAACATTCTTTTGTAATAATATGGTATATATGAAACTAATACTATTATAGGCCTAAGTGCTGAACTGTGAAGGGCTGTGCTCTGTGTTCAGCCTGCATAACAATGCTGTCACGGTTGAGTGAGCATAACTTTCCTAGGCCTATGATTGACTTAAAAACATGCTGTCTTTAAGATCATTTTTCTACCTTTTAAATACATCTTATAAACTTCTAATTTGTGTTAAACAATGTACAAGACATTATATTTTTATAATTATTTACCAACTAGGGTGAGTTGATTCAGTGAAGTTTATTTTTTCCAAAGTTTCTGACAAAATTTGTCACAGTTTTAAAAGTATCCACACCATCAACTAATTGCAAACACCAATATGTAGGTCTAGGTGTCAGCTTTCAGAAAAGCTATTGAAAAGCAGCATTTTTATTGGTTAAGAGCTTGACCTGACCAAAAAACTATATTGACCTCAGAGAACCAAGGAGAAAAATTCACTCAAAAAGTGCTAGTGTGTGAAACCCTATACTGTAAGCAGAGATTTGGTAGGCTTACTAATTTATAAACTATCATTGTGGCAAAACTACTAAAGTGAAGTTAATAAAACTTACAGATATGATAGAAACAACATTTCTCTCACTAAAAGTGAAAGAATTATGTTGATAGACCTTCTACAAGTGGAGAAATATTAATTTATGTGGGAGATAGTCAATTTGAATTGCAGTTTCCTGCACGTTTTACTGGTGGTGTGAACACCCTATAAGATACATCATTTCATGGCATGATTGCCAGCCACACCTTATTTTTTTATATTACTGATGCCTTTTTCACCTTGAAGACTTTTACTAATAGCCTATAGCCTACAGTAGAACGCTACCGTACCGATAGGCCTACTACTTCTACTACAGGGTGGGCCCTTGCGGGGGCCTAGCGAGGCCTGGCTGCCTAGAGAAGGGAGGCCTAGACCCTAGGCTCTAGCTTAGTTTAGCAAAGCTAGGCCTAGGCCTAGCCCCGCTTGGCCTTGAGCCTAGCCTAGTGGTAGTACTACCAGGTGTATAATAATAAGGTCTGACTAAGCTTAGACGGCCCTATACTATATCGATATGGTCCTGATATTGTAATACTGTTCAACAAAATTATATAAAGAAATATAGTAAAGAAATTACGTATGTTTCTCTCTCGGTCTCATCATGTCATCGCTTTCTGGACAAGGTTGCCAGGAATTCGATCCAACTCGGCCACAAGTCAACTCGGCCACAGTCAACTCGGCCACAAGTTAACTCGGCCACAAGTCAACTCGGCCACAAGTTAACTCGGCCACAAGTCAACTCGGCCACAG